TGGTATGGCTCTGCTCCTGCCCTGGGCAATACAGGGTGGTAGCAGCCTCGGCTGCTTGTGCCATCCAGAGGAACCTCTCCACCAGCCACAGAGGCACTGCACGTGTTCCTTGTACCAACGCAATCCCTTGGCCATACAAATTGTCCTCTGCACTTACATCTGCCAAAATCTCTGTTTCCCTTCAGAGATGCCAACAAACTCAGGACTCATATGAAGGGATGATCAAAATGAAACTCCTGGGCATCATAAACTCTAGGCGGTCTCTCGCCTCAGCTCCACCTGACCCATCCACCTGATGGACTTGGTCCTGCACAGTGGAAAGAGTATAGAAACCCAGGCTGCCTGTACTCCAGACCTTCTAGGAGGAGTCACTTTCTATGCTAGAATGAAAATTTGGTGCAGGCTGTTTCACTCTTATTTCTGTCATTACCTAATGAGTCATAAGTGCATCCATCCCTACATCTTGAGAACGTTTTCGTTTTTATTATGTTGTTGGTTTTTTTTCTTCTCTAAACCCCATCATTAAAAATCAATTAGCTTATGGGCAGCGTTATACAGATGCTTCTGCAGCAAGGGGCTGACATCTGCACTGCCAGCAGCCCAGATACTACAGCAATATATGTCCAGAAATACCCATGGAGGACAATAAACCCCCAGCCCTAAAGCTGTATTCTTTTTGATCAAGAAAAGGACTGAATGTCCAGCTTGGGCTTACTTCCCTGTCTCCTCCATAATTAGCACACTTCTTAGAGCAAGCAGAAAAGTTTAATTGTCTTTAATTAATGCCATTCAAGGAGGACTGGGTTTCTTGCCTGATATCCATATAATTTCCCTGCCAACAACTTCATCATCATCCCTTTACTGGAACTGCAGTGCAGCTTGTAAAGCTCTTTTCCACAAAAGACACAGAAGTTTCAATCAAGGCTGTGCTGCTGCCACAAGCAGAGACAAAAGTCCTTGTGTCTACGAGGCTCTTGCTTAGGCTGCTGCATGTGTTTTCTGTGGGGTGGGAGGGAAGGAGTTGCAACTAATGTGCAATCAAGAACCATCACAATTACAAATGTAAATGAACATCCAATTGGCACTGACCTTTGTAGATTGTTAGAGGACTAATTAAGGTATGATCAGACACTCTCTTCCAACAGATTGAGATGCATCTATACAAGAAAATATCTACACACCACCCCAGAGACAGTGATGCTTTTTCCTACATGCTTGCACACACCAGGGAGTACGTACACACAGTGAGACACAGCATTTAACCCTGACATCTCCTCCCTGCCACTGAGCAAACAGGACAGAGTGGGAAGCAGACAAGGCAACTCCATCACTCCCAGAACACAAGGCTGCGGAATGAGGGGTGAGCCACCTTTCATTACTGCGAGATGCAGTTGTATGTAAAGCTGGGGATGAGGAAATTGGCACAAACTGGCTGAAGTTAGGGAAAGAAAAAAAGGGCAAATACTCCTTCAACATTTCCAGCAAAGCCACAAAGGTCTCCAGCAGCAGCAGGAGTGATGGTGGCTGCATGTGCTGGCACCTTGCTTTGGGTAACAGCTGCCCTGGGGGTCTGCCCTGGAAGCAGCAGCAGCAGCAACAGGCTGTTATCTTACCATCCCCATGGAACTCGGCATCCCCTTAACAACATGATCCATTGCATCTGCTTGCTTTTGATCACAGCAGCCAGAGGATGTTGTTTCACACCACTGCTGAGGTGAACCTACAGCTACACCAGCAAGAAGACAGACCAGCACAAGAAGGGCATGGTTTTCTGCCAGCTCAGCCCTGCCAAAGAACTTGCAGTTCCTCAGGCACAAGTCATGGTCCTGCTCAGCCACCTCATCCTCATCCTTGCCCATTGAGTTTTGAGCATCTCCTAGGATGGGGACTCCACAACCTCCCTAGGCAGCCAGCCCAGAGCTGGGCCACATCCCAGGGAAGAGTTCTGCAGAAGGTAGAAAAGCTGAGGACTGAACATTCTCAGAAGGAGCAGCGATAACAAAATAGTTTATTCACTTTGGGGGAAAAAGGCAAGCTGATATTGTACGTGTAGGGAAACAGAATTAGAAACAAATATAATTAACTAGAAGGGGAGGGAGAATCACAGTGATGATTACCAGGGAGTAACAGCAGCATCAAAACAAACCCCTGCACTTGCAATGCAGCAAAACAGCAAAAAAGCTGTCATCCCTTTGGGTCCCTGACAGAGGTGTGTCACAGATCAGAAAAGCACTTTCTGCTCAAAGTGTGCGAAACAGAGAGAAGACTTTCTTGTGTTATCTGTTACCACCAGAGGCTCCTTATCAAAATGTAGCAAGGGAAGTCACCTAGCCCTCAGAAAAAAAAAAACAAAACAGTAAAAATGCAACAGGGATACAGCAGAGACACCAAGGTATTGTATAGGTGGAAGAAAAGCAGTGAGCCAGCTGCACACAGCTGTAAGTGCAGCCCTACCACAGAGGATGTGCATGCCCCACACTGGCAGCACGGGGCTGGAAGACCCGCTGGTGACGCCCCACAGAACGGGCTGTTCTCCTGAATGGCTGGAACAGCCAAACACACCAGCAGAGTTCAAAACCAAGACAAAACAAACATGTCACAAGAGAGAACTGAAGGCCAGATATGTGCATATTCCTGCTACACATCGCTGACACCCAAGACTACAGGAAAACAAGGCTGTGAGTTCAAACCTCACAGGAAAAAAGGAAGGATCAGCCTTCTGGAGGGAGATTTTTTACGCATGAAATGATTACACTGAATAAATCAAAGCTGAGAAACACATTACTGTTGTGCCCTTCATGAGGCTGATCTTGCCTGCCATGAGGCCACCCCTGATGGATGTCACCCCTGCAGCATCCTGATGTGCCTTGCCCTGGGACATGTCCTCAGCCCAGCCACTAGCCTGGGGCACTGGGACTACCCCACTGTATAGTCAAGTTGATGCTCTGATACCTCAACAGGATCAGAATAAATGGGAGATGAAAGCGCCCATTTTCCCCTATGGGAGAACTGCAGCTTCTCTCTCAAAGCCAACTCCCATCACTGCAGGTACAACCTGTCCAGCACCTTGTGCCTTGGCCATCACCACACCAGTGAGGTGTGTCTGCTCAGCCTTGCTCAACAATGGGCTGGAAGAGTGTTTGAGATTAAATATCTTGGGTCAAACCAACCTCCAAAACAGATCAGAGGTTCCCTCTTTGTATTCTAGATCTTATCCTTGTATTTTTATCCTTTGAAATAAAATATGATAAAGAAATAGTGTCTTGTTTGCTGTCAGTTTTAGTTGAAGAACCAACAGGCTTCAAGGGAACTATCTCAGGCCACTGAAAAATCAAAATATTTTAAAAATGAGATTTCCTTGCAGTGACTTACTAAGACTTTTAACAAAAAAAAAAATAATCTTTTTAAATGGTCAAAAAACTATTGTCCTTCTAAGTTAGCCAGCTTCTGCACTCTTAGTACCTGCAATGTCATAATCCTGGCAGACATACAAGGAAAGATAAAGTTTCTGAAGTAAAAGACACGGTAAACACAAATTTCTAAAGTAAACAAAGGTTTCCAGGATTGTTCTGTGTGTCACAAAAGGGCACAGAAGGTTTGTCCTCTCTGTTCCTTTTGCTTTTAAGAAAACTCATAAACCATAAAACACTTCAACATATCCTTTCAGAATTGGAATGTTTTTCTGCAGTGGAGAAGCGGAATGGCTCCAAGAGCTGCTGTCCCCTCTGGATGGTGTGGCAACCACCACATGCTCTCCCTGTCACCATGACCTTTGGGAAAGTGTGTTGCATGCCCTCTACTCTGCTGAGTACACAGATAGGTCACTTTTTTCCATGAGACTGAATTTAACCTCTTACTGAAAACTCTCCTGCTTTACTTTCTGGGTGTTCTGCAACTATTTCACATCCTTGTTACTAACATGTGTAACAGCAACGCAGTCCAGGTGTTAATTGAAAAGACGTTTCTAAGACTCACATGTATTTTCCTCCAGCTGGTGCTGCTTTCCTTTCTCAATGCCTTTAAGCTAAGATCACTTTCCTTGTCTCTAAGCCATTACTTGAGGAATGCCATTTCCTCAGGGCACTTTTCTGTGAGATTTATCCAGTCCTGGAGGGAAGTCCTGGTTGAAACAGAGGAGGGCTGTGGAGGGTTTCACTGGCATCCTCCCAGCTCCAGCATCTCCACATCCCTGACAGTGTGTGTAACAGCCAGCTTGGCAGGCTCTCCTCCTCCTCCCTCTTCACAGGACTTACCAGATCTTGCTTTTTCGTAACATAAAAATATTTTTAACCCTTTAAATTATTAAACAAAGTACAATTTCTGTTCTGCCCAGCCTAACTGTCCCCTTTAAGGCACCTTTTCTCTTGCTAGATTCACAGCTGCAATCCCTTTCCAGTTATTTGTCCTTTCTGTATGAGCATAGACTTCACCCAAGCCCTTTGCCTTATCCACCTTATCTCATGAGGAGACATGGAAAACAGACCAACACTTGCCCCTTCTCCTGCCCACCCCTTTCAATCTTCCTCATGATCTAATGTGGCTGAAATATTAAAAACCAATGAAAAAACTGGGATGGGTTTGCACTGGTGCTTAGGATATCACTTGATGCATTGCAAAACTTCTACTAAAAGCATAGTTTGTTAGAGTTGTCCTAACGTGATGGTATCTCTAGACACTCATAAATATTTCACTTACAAGTACGAAATAAAGAACGTGTGTAAATATTTGGTGCTTCTGAGCTACCACCCACAAACCCCATGAGGCAAAAGAATGCTGGATGCTGCAGGTACAACAGGATCTTGTCCTACCTCAGGGTAGCTGGGACTTCCATAACACATTATTAATAGGCAATAAGTGCCATCCCACAGCAGGGAAGACAACCAAGAAAGTCACCAAGCTTGCCACAGAACTGCATGGAGGGTCTGATGCTCCTGATCCAATCCTGTGATGCAGAGGGGGCAGGAGCCCAACCCTGTGCATGCAAGGGTGGCAGCACTCACCAGCTTCAGCTGCCGGACATTTCCGGATGGTGAAGATCTGTCCCAGGTCTTCCTCTTCTTCAGGAAGACCTTTCTGGAGGCGCTGCAGCTTCCGTAGGCTTTCACTCCGCTGGTGTTTCATGGAGCGCACATGCTGGATAAGGTTCAGCTTGGCCTTGGTGGAGTAGTTACAGAGGACACAGTGGTAATAGCAGCTTTCACCTTCAACCCCACTCTCATGATGCTGAAGGTGCTGTGAAGAACAAAGTAGAGAGATGTGAGTTTCCTTTACACCTCCAGTCTCCCTGGGTTAGTCCATTGTAAATTGCTAAAAGCCACCTGGGAACTAAGTAAGAAACCGTAATTTGATGAAGACACAGTAAGATCAAGCCTGTTTATTCTCAAGGTACCACACATGCTCCTGCTTAGAAGCAAGAAAACATAACATACTGAAATAAGCACAGAAGCAAAACTCAAGATGGGCAAGATAATCTTCATTGAAAGAGAACAGCAGATCCAACATAACTGTTCACAATTTATGTGCGGTTAATTCTTTCACATTTAAAGCTTATCCAGGGAGGGGACCCAACTTCATGTCAAACAGATAAAATTAAATGTGATAAATTCTCACTGAAAACTAGGAAGAATAAAACTAAAGCAGTCCTAGAACACAACAAACCCATTAGACTGACAGGTCCTGGGAACAGTGTATGGGAGCAGAACATGGAGTGTGTGCATCCTATCCATCACCCAGCACTCCGTTACCTGACATTTAGGTTTTACTCCCTTGGATCTGGAAGAAAGCAGCAGCCTGGCCTGGAAGATGGCTGTGTCAGCGGTCCAAATTGAGAAGCCTATGGTGAGCATGCAGCCAGATATCACCACAAGAGGTTAGCACTTGGAAAACCCTTGCCCCGCTCTGAAGCTGTGCTACTGCAGCAAATGTGGCTAATTCAAGAGTATTATACCTGGATTATCTATACCAAAATCTATCAACTGTCTGGCACAGAGCTTCATGCTAGGGAAACAAATAGCTGGTTTATGTCCTGGATCTCAAGGATGTGGCAACTACTTCTCAAAAGCAAAGGGAAGCATTCAGTGCTTACGGCTATGCTGGCTGCTGTGGCAGCAGCTGCAGGGCTGAGTTCACAGTAACTGTCCCAGTTCTCACAGTAATGCTTATCTCAAGTGGAGGACAAATGGATACCAAAGTCAAAGTACTCTTGAGTGAAGACCATCTGGTGCTTCCACCACAAACCTACATTTCAGCTCTGCAACAATCCCTGCCAGCTCCCACCATCCAACCCCAAGACCTCTGTTTGTCTTCTAGGTCATCTCATGAAACTCCCTCCTCAGCATGCACCTCGCCCAAGGCACACAAATAAGGTGATTTCGACATGCTCTTAAGGTTTGTCAATCAAAAATATTGCCTACGTGCAGCCAGAACCTTCTGGTAGGTAAAAATTCTGACATGTATTATCTCAGTTACAGCTAAGATAAGATTAAAGACACATATTACCTAGTGCTGTGTGCTTAGCTAACACAGAGGAAGGAGAGCCCTCTGAGTCTAGGAATGATTAAAAATAGGATAGGAGCTGATGCTGAGGCTTCTGATTGGAAGAGTGAGGGAAGAGAATAAATGTATTCTAGATCTGGCTAATTAGACTAGCCTCTTTTGGGATCACAATGTATTTAATTAAATTCACTGTAATATTTGAAGAATCCACTAGGGCACTAATCCCACTGGTGCCCTCAAAAGATTTTTTGCTGTTTTCCCTCATAAGAACTTCTTCTTCATCTCATTTCTATTGTTTGCATGCATTACCCTCTTCCTGAGCCAGAAAAAGAGAAATGGCTTAAGACATAAAAGGCTAAGGTTAGCGAGCTGGTCTCAAGAGCCACGTGACTGGCCCACATGGCCCAACTTAACCAGCCTTGCTCTGCCCCACTTAGGTCAAACCTCTGCAATAAAACCTCCCTTCCACCCCATCGTGCTGTGGGCTGGGGGGTCTCGCTCCAGGAGACACATGGAAAGCCCTGTCCTTCAGCTATCAGGAAGCCCCCATCCTGCAGACACCATGTTCAGGCTTAGGCAGGGCCAATGGGCTCAGGAGCAGCTTCTGCAAGAAGGCAGAGGAAACCCCTGGTGAGCAATTAGAGAAAAATCTGGTTCCAGGTTCAAGGAAATGCTAAGATATGGTCTCTGTGGGAACCAGAGGCACAGTCTGTACTGCTCCCATTTAAAAAGGGATTTTAGGAAAACTTTTGTTTTAAACTATTTAATAAATGTGTCTTATTTTCTGGTCTTCTTTTGCTCCACTCAACACATGTTCAAATATCCCTTGTGATAGCTTCACTTGCCTGTCCTGCCCAATGGTGCAAAAACCCCACCCTGGACATGGCACATCATCACATGCCCACCTCTGATTCATGTCAGTCTTCCAATGGATGAGAGGAGCAGGCCAGAATAAGACAACATGATGAATGAGAAAGTACAAGCTGTGAGCTGGTGGAAAGACACTGGACAAATACATGTAGTTATTGTCCATCACACTGTAAAGCTTTCCCCTTGTGAAAATTTATCCATATCACAGAAAGCAAATTCAAAATATTAAACCAGAACTTTGTTAGAAGACAAAACAACTTGAAAATCAAAAGAATATACCGTTCTTAGGAAAAGCAACCAACTTCTGTCAGAGAACATTGATTTCTGCAAGTCTGGGGGGTGTTTGTCCCCTCCCTCTCAATGATAGGAAACTTTCAACATCTGGTTCTTCACGCATGGCATGCAAAATATTGATCAGGTTTAGTCAAAGCTCCACTTTAAATCAGAAACAGACAGGAACGCTCTGATGGAAGCCATACGGCTCACGAGTACAGCTTCCCGAGGGACATGGGCTGTTCCTGTATGTACACTAACCGCAGCACAACACTCTGCCGCTCCCAACACCTATCCCTACACACAAATCAAACGAAATCTGGCCCATCTTCCATCTGGGAAGGGCTTGGGTCTCTAGGCAAAGCTGCACAGTGACGAGGGCAGGAGGATCCCACCCAGAGACCTCACCTCCTCCATCTGCCACAACCCCTGCACCGCCTGTCCCCAACCTTCACAGCCCTTCCTGGGAGAACACCAGCTCCTCACCAGTTACAAACACCTCAGGTCTGGCAACTTCATCTCAATACCAAAAGCCACTCACTGCCGCTCTGCCCTGTGCCCCCCAGGGTGACCTCACCCCTGTCCCACATGATTTGTCCCCACACAGCATTTTGGGCCAGTTTAGGGAGTAATCCAGAACGACCTCCCCCTTCCTCTAGGTATGGCTGGAAGAAGTCAGCATGTTTGGAAGGTCTGAACATAGAGACAATTTAAATAAGCAAGATTAAAATTACAACTTGTGCCTATACACCCTCAAGAGTGCCACGGGCCAGCAGGCAGCAAGCAACCCTCCAGGGATCACACTCTGCGCAGCACCAGTCATCAGACCTGGAGGAGGGAGGTGAGGGCACCCGGTGGTGTTCACACCAGCGCAGCATCAGCCACAGCAGGAGAAGGGTGCAGAGCATGCAGGCACAGATCAGGGAATGTAGAAGAGGCACGAGCATGAGCGAGCAAACGTGTGCTGGGACACGCTGACCTGCACTGGGCTGGGGAACTGACTTTCCAGCCCTCACTCTCTAACATCTGGCTTGGAATTGTTTTCTTCTAATAAATAATAGCATAATAAATGTTCGCAGCATGACTACAGAAATCTGACTTTTAAACAAAGGAATTACACTATTTTCAGTACTTCTTTCTCTCCACCTCCTTCATATACTCCAAACTTTGTTTATTTTAACATTGCTCTCTTCCCCATCTAACACTGCCTCACCCACCATATTTTTCAGTAATCACGGAATTTAATGCAACAGCTGTATTAATCCGACTGCAGGCAGTCCTCACCCCTGTGCCACAGTTTCAGGCTACGTTCTTCAGAGATGAGACTGTTGTAACGAGGACTGAGGATCCACATTGCTGCTATTACCCAAGTAATGAACTCTCCTGCTGAATATCTTTGTAGGTGTTACTGTAGTTAATGTTCAACATTTAATCTGGTTTCTAGAAACTTTTGTTATGTCTTTTAAAGATATCAAAACTGTATCTGCCCCAAACCTCTTCCGTATTAAGTTTTTTACAGCCACTGTGTGCAGAGCCCGCTTCCCACGGTAACTTGAACAGATAATCCTCCCTATAGCAGTTTGTTGCCAGAAGGCACAATGTTATTTTCCAAACCCTGTTTGCTCTGCATAGTGGGTCAGATACTGTTCTGGCAGATATCTGAACTGTAACCCTAGCTCACCAGGGAGACGCAATAACTGCTTTGAACTATCTCATGCTTTTGATGTTTATTATTCATTCGAAAAAAAGGCTCAATTTCTATGCAATCTTAACTTCATCTTGCATAAAGTCTCCCCTTTGGAGGGCCCTAAAAGCCCCTAAGGAGAAACTCACACTGACAACAGAGGGCATCTCACAAGCCATTGGTCTACAAGCTGGAAGACCAACAATCTCTCGAAACAGCAAGATCCCACTTCCACCCTCAGGAAGTCTCAATGGTCCACAAAGCAGTAGAACACGTGACAAAGCTCTCTACAGGCTCGAGGACATCCCCCTTTTGCAGACCTCAGAATGAGAACAAGTAGTAGAAAGAAACCCAGTGAATGCCCCCCAGGACAAGCAGCCTGGGCTCTCCTGCTCCCTGCCGGGGTGCACAAGGACTTCCCACACGTGTCATAGTGTCTGCAGGCAGGAAAAGCAGGTGAAGTAACAGGCCTAGGGGCCAAAACCCAAAGTGAGAAAATGATCTCATGAACTCTGTGCAGCAAACAAGAGAACCAGCGGTAATAAGTAAGAAACCCTTCCTCACCACCAGAGGCTAACAGGATCACCAGCTGCACAGTGATCCAGATCCCGAACCAACAGAACGGAGGATCTGGGCAAAAGTGCTTGTGGGGACAGCCAAGGGGAGTCCATCCCCCTGTGTTTACACCAACATCCCTCCCACTTTCCAACATCAATCCTCAGGAAGGCCAGGGGGAGGTATGGGTAACTGAGAAACAGCCTGATGAAATCTCTTCCAAACCACTTTGGATCTCCTTCTCCAGCTGGCTCTCAAATTACAAGACAATCCTCCATGAAACCAGAAGCCACTTGACTACCAGGAGCTTCTACAAGAAAGTTTCTGGTCTTGAACATCTTTGGAGGAGGCTTCG